GCGAAGGCGAAGGCGGCGGCCGGGTGCTGCTCGGTGCCCAGCGAGGTGCGGCGCATGAACTGGCGGTGCATGCGGAGCAGCGCGCCGCACACCAGCACGTTGCAGAGCACGGTGGCCAGGATGAGGAAGGAGCTGAAGCCCGCGTACATGTAGGAGAAGGCGGCGTGCGCCGTCACGTTGGTGGTCCAGTCGATGAAGCACCAGGTGTCCGGGTACTGCAGCCGCGAGCTGCCCAGGCCCATGTTGGGCAGCGCGCAGAAGAGCACGTTGGACGCGTAGACGGCGAAGAGCGTGAGGCCGGCCAGCCGCTTGTCCACGTAGTGGCTGTAGAAGTAGGCGTGGTTGATGGCCAGGTAGCGCTCGATGCTCATGGCACAGATGATGCTGAGGCCCGACAGGCCGAAGAAGAGCAGGATGAAGGTGCTGTACTCGCACAGCGCCTGGCCGCCGGGCCACTGGCCCTTCATGTACGTGGCGATGGTCACCGGGCTCACCAGCAGCGTGCCCAGCAGGTCGGTGACGGCCAGCCCGCACACCAGCGTGTAGAAGGTCGTCTCCTTCTGCTCCTTGCGCGACTTGCACAGCACCACGATGGCCACCAGGTTGCCCACCACCCCGAAGATGAACATCACCGCCGGGATGGTCACCGGGCTGTTCAGGGAGGCGGGCGCACCGTCCGCAGGGGTGGCCATGGTGACGGCCGGCGGCACCCGGCCCTGCAGTTCCAGGCTGGGTCTGGGGAGAGTGGGAGAAAGACACAGGCGCCCTGAGTGAGCGGAAGTTACAACTAGCAAGGTGTCAGATCCGCGCCCAAGAAACAATATGCTGATGAGACAAGAACGGCTCGGTGCTACTTTGTGACTTGTACGCAGCCACTTGCCCACTGCGGCTACCAGCACCTCCAGGCTGCGCAGCACCACTCCACTCGCATTAATATTGATAAGTTGGCACGGCCGTTCTCTCCTCCCCCCACCCCAACTCAACTTCACTCCACTGCCAAGAGGAACACCACCTATCTCAAGGGAAAAGTGGTTCGCTCTCATTCCCGACACATTCTGAGTCAATACAATTCTCCTCGGAAACAGTTAGGAAAGGCGACTTGGAGAGAGCGCGCGCGCTCCCCTCCCGGCCCCGCTCCCCGCCCAGGGCCCCAGCCCCATCTCACCTGAGGTGGCCGCGGCGCGGGCAGCCACGCGAGCCCCCGGAGTCCAGCCTCGGACGCGCTGGACGCGCCTCCAACCTGCCCTCCGCCTCGCCCTGCGCGATGGGGAGCTTGTCAAGCCTTTGCCTTCGCAGAGCCGGGTCTCT